CTCATGTGTATGCTGGTGTGGTCATAGAGGACCATGGGCCAGCTGGATTGAAGAATGCAGCAGAAAAACAGCTCAGGGAGTCTCTTTCACCTGCTGTCATCCAGACAACAATCACTTGTCCTACTGGAGAAGAGATTGCATTTCCTCACGTGAGCAATCACTCCATGCAAAGATTGCTGTAAATGAGTTAGATTTTGGGTTGGATTTTTTCACTCTGTCTGTGAGGGCAACACATTGATGCTCTGTGATCATCAGCCTTCTCTGAGACGCTGCCAGGGTATAGTCTTGGTTACTGCATGAGGTACAGGACCTTCCCTGTCTACAGTATGGGAGGGAAGGGAGACTGTGTGCTGGCAAAGATGTGTCACTTGCCCTCAGACAATAATACTTCATCCATTTGATTTACTAATAAGCATGTAGTGAGGACTGGTTAGGCAAAACTTTCCTGTAAGACAGACCTGCTAGATCAGACAAAACACTGTATTCAACTCATAAAGCAACATTTTGCTATAAATCTACTGTTTTTGTTTAAAAGCTCTTCTCTCCCCACTAATAGAGAGTTTTGACTTAAACGCTATTGTGCTACTCACGCTCTATAGTCTTATATAAAATACCATGTACATTTTTAAGCCTTTCTTCTCTCTGCAGCATGCAATTTTTTCTTAAATGTGAGGGGAATATTTTCAGTTTTAATTAGGTGTATCAGGGAAACATTTTTAGCTTCACAAACAATCAAAAGGAACATTTCAGCAAAACTGAGACAAAATAACTGTGTGTCATGTTTCCAAATGTGCAGTTTAACTGTCCTTTCCTTTTCCTCTATGCCCTCAAAAATTTTTATCTGAAAAAGAGAGGGGCTAACTCCAGTGATGTCCCCCTATAGGTACTTTGGGTTCCAAATGGTTGACCTGTCTGGCTCAAAGTGTATCATCAACATCATCTTGTCTTTGACAAGTCATTTAATTGACATTTTAAGATTTTCCCTTGCATGGTAAGAACTTAAATGATAGTTAATTTTCTTCTGTTTCAAGTTGCTATAAAAATAACCCCATGAATTTGTTGCTAAGAACTTTCACATTGGGGAAAACCTTCCAAGCAATTTTAAAATCTCACCAGAGAAACTGATCATTATTGTTGCTTAAACATTAGCCATTTTCTTGAAACTTGTTTCTTGCCAGTTTCATATAAACAAATCATGTTGCATTACTTACCCTGTGTTCCTAACTGACTTTTAAAACATCTGAGAACAAGTGAAATTATTTTTCTAGGAAAGGTTCATATTAGGAGCTGCTGTAGGCATCAGGTGCTCCCTGAAATGTACCTGAGTTGTATATTTTATTAGTTAATAGATGTAGTATTGTATATTGTATTTTCTAATAGAGGAACCAGATGACTGGGAGATCAGGATCTGAGTCTCTATTAAAGGGGCATTAGAAATGTTTGATACAAAAAATGTTGAAACTTCGTATGCGTTCCAGAAGGAAGATTAAACAAGGCACCAATTGTGATATTATCTGCCTCATCTATAGTTAAAAATCAAAACATGAGTGCTATGGTTTTCAAATATTAAACTTAGTGACAAAAAATACCTTCAAACCCCAGCATTGTGTGTAAGGGGGTAGAGGGGTCTACAATAACATTTTAAAATGATAATGGTATCTAAATACATGCTATTTAATATTGCTTTTTGTATCACTTACCAGGATTGTACAGCTACCAGTGACAATTAGACCACAGTTTCTGTATATTCTCCCAAATGAAATGTTCCTTTTCTCCCTGTTATACTTCTAACTGGTCTCATATGCTCCAGCGTCCACTTTCAGAGGTGTATTTTAGATGTTATACTAATAAATCTTGAGTCTTGGGGAAAAAAGCTTAAATTGATAAGGGGTTGAGTGCTGACTTTCTCAGCATGGACCCTCAATACACTAAAGGTGAGGTATCACACAACTGGGGCCCTGTCCTCATGAGCTGGACACTGATTATGCCTTGACTATATATATGTCTGATTAAATGAACTTGCATCTGGCAAGTTGCCTATGTCGCTTCAAAGGCAGGAAAGTCAAAGCCATTTCAGCAGCTTAAGCTGACACTGGCTAAAAAGTAACTCGCTGACCTATTTTTCCTTGTTATGGACTCACAGTACTAGGTACCAGCTCAAATGTGGCTTAACTTTGTAGCACAGAACTTTAAATGAATTGAGAACTTCACTGTGTGCTCTCCTAGTGTACGTACCGCTTGCCTTCAGCTCTCAGGATGCTCCAAACAAAGAAATTAGCAGTGATTAAACTCTGCTGCACCCTGTGTTGTAGCACAGCATGACCTTGCCTATGCAGATAGAGCCAAATGGTGTAATTACTGTGTTTAAAAAAAAACCCTGCCTGTCTGCATTCTCTGCAAGGGTTTGAAAACATTTGCAATAGGTTGTAGCTGAGCTTTGGCTTGCCTACTTTGGCCCTTTCAGCATCATTAGAGGAGCTCGGCGTGCTGGGAACTGTGTTTGAACCCTTTCTCTGCATTTGTGTGGAGAAGAATGTGTCATATTTGGGAAACAGCAAGAGTAAGGCTCCCATCAGAGCTGTAGTGGGAGCGTGAAAAGGGAGATAAAACACAGTGGACAGCAGTAGGATTTTGGTGCAGTGTAGCCCTGGTGCCGTTCCAGCTCAGAAGAGTTAACGGTGACTGGAGGGTTCTCGGAGAAGAATCCAGCCGTGGGCTCTCCAGCCGAATTCAAGCATGGAGACACAGCAGAGCCCTCCCTCCTGCCTGATGCTGCTACAGGAACATCGAGGGCAAAAAAGTACTTGCCACTCTTCTAACCCTTCCCCTTTTCAAATGAAGTAGAGCACCTCTTCAACAGCTCATTCTTGAGGGAGATTTCAAGGCAAAGTGGGTAGGCTGAATGCTACCTCTGTCTTGCCACACAAAAAGCCTGGAAAGCCAAGGTGAAAGGGGACCACTGTGTGTGAAAGGGCTGACCTTGTCGGTAAAACTCTTCGCAGACCCGCTCACTCCACTGTCTGCTCAGATCCCAGAGCCGGCAAGGGTTGCAAATGTCAGCGCACTTGAGTGCAATCTGAAAGCAAAGCAGAAAAGGAGTGGTAAGAAAAGTAGTTACTGTCTATCAGTGCTTTGGCAGTAAATCAGCAGTCATGGAACTCCCAGGCCTCACCAGTGATACTGGGAAGGGTTAAGATCACCTTTTAGAGACTCAGCCTCACCCCAATATGCCTTTTGAGGAACAAGCATTTATTTAAGCCGCAAACAAAACTTTCATTCAGCCCTCTGCTTTACTGTAGTGAGAACAAGAGGAGGGCCAAATGCCAAGGCTGCAAAGTCTTTTGGATATTCCTTGCAAGGAATAAGCCAACAAAAGCCTCAGGCTGACTCCTGCTGACTCCCTGGCTCAGCATCCATGGCTGATGACAAGGAAGGGAAGAGCCAAGCTGGTGTGTTTGGGCATAATTTCTCTGCGGTCTCAGTGAGTGACCTTGCATCTCGCTTCAATTACACTTCATCTTAATGTCTGCATATTTTTGTTTACAAAGCTAAGCACAGGGCCCTCTGCACTGCCCCTGGCTTGGTTTCACTTAGTTAACTAGTACTTTTAAGTGCTTTGCAGGGGAAGGAGTACAGGAGGGCAAGAGGTTTTTAAAATCAAGTTACTGCTTCAGAAAAGTAAACCGCGCAATAGTCTGTCTGTTGTACTGCCTTGGAACAAGATGTGCCTCATTTCTTCACAGACTGAACGCAGACAGTTAGCCTGACAGAGGTCAGAAATCATTCTGGCACCTGGGAGGAAAACATAAGAAATATTTCCTATATAACTTCAGACCTGTGAACTGGAGGAGGGACGTCTCCAAGCCACTTTTCTCTCTGGATTAAATTCATTAGCCTTAATGTTACTGTTAAAAGGATCTTTCAAACATTCTTTAACTAACTTATCCCAATCAATCAAGATTTCTTGATATTTTTTCTTTTCTTCCACAACTAATCCACCAGATGGTAAGTAAATCTCACCATGTCGGTGCCCTAGTTCCTGTCTTCAAGAAAAAAGTGCATAAGAAACTTTTTGCCATAGTTGAGATCTGTAATCCTTCTGCCTTTGGCATTTGCACAACTTTCTTGCCTAATCTGTCCAGAACTACGATAAACCCATCACCCTGCCCTGCATGGTCCATGCAGGAATCTGACAGAAGACCATGTTTGATGGAGGACAGGCGAGCAGATTACTACATTTCCCACGCTGCTGGAGGGGGGAGAATTAACAGATCCACACTTCTTTCCTTGCAACTGTCACCCTTCCTGTAACCTTGACAAAGTGATAACATGTAGATGTTTGTTTTATAAATGATAATGATTACTTAAACTCATTTATATATTTAAAAGTGAAATTAATGTCATTTCTCCAGAGAAGCATGCATATGCAGCTGCTTTAATCACAATAATGCTTTAATAGGTAGAGGTTTATTCTGAAGTGCCTGTTAATGACTGCAGTTTAGCTGGAAAAACCAGTCTGAATCTATCTGATTTTTAAATAAAGCTTTGTTTCTTCATTAGCTGGGCAGATCCACTAGAGAAGCACCAGCTGCCATGGCAACAGCTGTCTCTGCAGAGGCTGTTTTTGAACATCCATCACAGGAACGGGAATTGGGCACCTGATGTCAGGCTGTCTTGGAAAGAACACCGACAAGGGGGCTCTCCTGCATGGTGCTAGAAAATAACACCAGTGAAGTGATGTTTGCCACAAGAGAGACTATAGTCAAAGCATTACCTGTCAAGAGAAACAGTGGACTGGGAATAAAATAATGAATAGCTTATCTTAATTTCTCAGCATTTGACACTCTCCTGTATCTGTTGCATTCACAGCTTTTTAACTCAAGGAAATTACAGAAGAAAATACCAGAGGCACCTTATGCTTGCCTGACATGCCAGGTGACAGAAGGAAGGTGTTTATGGTGGTAAGTAAGGAGACACATGCCCAGACATACTATCATATCTTATTCTAAAATATACTAGGAAATACTGTGACTTGAAAAATTAATAAAAAACAATAGTGGAAAAATATTTTTTAAAGAAGTTACCTGAAGCATAAAATGTCTGTCTTGTGCATCCTCCAGCCTCAAATCCTGATTGTCAAGGTGAGATTTCAGACGGATCAAAAACTCATTCTGCCTGTTGATGTCTGTTGCCAAGATCAGGGAGCCCAACTGCTGCTCGATGTCCTGTCTGCAATTTAAGGAAAATAAGCCCTTTCAGTCATGGAACCATTGAACATTAACAGCTCAAAACAGCCTGCTGTGGATCATAGCTACATAAAACTTCCTCTTTCTTTATGGATCCAGTCTGATCCGTTTGGTCAGTCTCTGCTGGGGTTTGCAGAGTACAACTGTTCTAGCTGCCTAAATGGGTTCAGGAGGAAGAGATAATGCAGAAGGAAAATGCTTGTTGGCATAGGTGGCTCCAAAAGCTTCTGAAAAGTGCTAGGAAAGTAAAAAAAAACAAAAACAAAAACCCAGCATGATGCACCTAGAAAAATGCTCATAGCTTAGTTCAGCTGCTCAGAGCTGGGTGGCAAGTACTGCAAGTTTGAAGCTGCAGCTGAAGTTGTGCAGGACTGAAGTCCTTTAAACTATGACTGAAGTTGTTGGTCTAATGCAAAGGATTTCTGGTGGGATGTGGAGCTTATTGGTTAGAGTTAACTTCTTTATATTCTTGGCAAGGTCAGCTGTGATTAAAACTTAGCATTGCAGGCTATTCGTTGGCTCAATCTCCATTCCTTGGTGGGAGTAACTCTTGCACAAAACCAGCAGGTAAAAAGTTGGCATCACCTTGTCCAAGGTGCTCATGTTCCTGGGTTTGTTTTTTTTTTTGGCTTCACCCAAAAAGATGGTGAAGACTGAGACTGAACCACACCTCCTCAGTTAGGTGTGGAAGTCTTGAGCAGTCTTGATGCTACTCAACTGACTCCTCCATTTTTCTCTCTATTTCATGCTTTTTAATCACTGAATCTTTCCATATTTGGTTGGTGCTATGTAAAATGGAAATTGCCACCAATGGATCTGAAAAGGTCCATTCTTGCCGGGACTCCCCATGCTCCCGGTGCTGACTGTGGCTATTCTGGGCTGCCGAAGTGAAAAAGTCTCAGAAAATACTTCTGCTGTATAACTTTGTCTCATGATTTCATACTGGCACCAAGAGAGGGCAGGACGTTCCGCCTACTCTGAAGCTTGGGCCTCTTTGCCAGTCCTTTTTTAAGAGGAGTGATGGAAGCCATGGACTAGTTTCAGTGGTGCATTTGCTCCAGTGGACACTTACGTCACCTCCTTAGGCAGATGGGCGAGGAGCCGTGACTCTCGAAGCATGCCTATTGTAGATCGCCAGTGATGATTTTCTAGCACTGAAACATTCTAGAGAGGAATAAAAGGAATAAAATCAAGGATTAGGCAGGTGTCCATGGTACAGATACAGATTTGCCATATCACATGATGCCCAGAGCTGGCTGGAAATGCTGTAACATGAGCATAAAATGTGTGCTTTTTAGCCACCTTTTGGTGTTGAGGAATTGGTCTGGATTTCTAGAGTTAAGGACTTTGTGCTTCTAGGTTTCCTAGCTAAGGTCAGCCCTAGAGGCCTGTTGTTCTACAGTTTTTGAATCCTGCTGTGAACAGAGGAGCTAATCTCATCTAAGTGGGAGGTAGCTTGCATTCTAACAGATTTATTAACAAATGAATTAAATCATGAGTGCAAAATCATATTTTTACCTCCTACTGATCCCAGGTTGACCTCTCAGCTTCTACAGTGTGATAGTTTAACTTAGCTGGAAGCCAAAC